TACTATTTTCATGTCTTTCTATTTGTATCAATAGGTACTTTTTGCTTAACTTACGAACGTTGAATGCAAATTAACTTTATTGAAAAAAGAAATCAAAGTCATTAATGTGGGGTAACATGTGGCTGATTATATGAAGGAGGTATATTCCAGTATTTATGTTTAACATATTAATTCACGAGAAAATGTTCGTACATTTATCATCTAGTATTAATTATTTTTTGATGATTAGTCTAAAACATTCAATACAACCATTAAAAAGTAACACCCATCGTCGGGTATCGAACTCCCGATTGCCTATCACCCGCTCCTTTTCATAAAAATGTGACGACCTAGTCAACCAGGCTATCACGGCTCCGCGGCCTGTGATGTAAAAATAGCATACAAAAGACTCTGACGGTGGGCGGGGCTTATCACAAGAGTTGTTTTCGACGCGACGCTTTGTAGCTCCCGCCTAAGCGCCTTTCTCTGTGAGACATTGTTTACCTATGCTATCATGTGTCTCAAGGTTCACCTCACCATGCATTTGCTATCGCGGCAGTAAGCTGAGGCAATATTTCTGTATTCATGAATTAAATCAATCAATCGAGTTCTGATTTTGGTTCATATATCCGTAACGAGTCCTCCAGAACAATTTTCCACCTTGTACGATGGTTATTATTTCTTTACTTCTATTTTTCAAATTTGAGGTGGGATAATGGCGGCTTCTCAAGAGCACCGAGGTAGGCGATCTTTTGCACCAACGAACAGAAAACTGATGGCGAAAAATAACCAATCAGAACCTCCCAAAAAAAAGAATTTGCCTAAAAACGGAACTTCGTGGTTCTGCGCAGATTTACCAGTCAGACACGACATCTTAAGGTGGAAAAAACTCGCTGAAAGCGAATTTTAGCAATCAACACAACTTGACGTAGAGACATGATTGGCTAAAAAATACAACGGTTTTTGATACATCGGAAAATCAACCAAAAATCGGAGACTGGGCGAAACGCTCAAGGTCGCAGAGGTATAGGGAATCCCATAGCGAAAGCAACGGAACGATTCTAATATCATGGGGAACTCCGTTCCCATGACAAAAATTAAGTGTACAGGAGAGGTCTGGGTCACGTATAGTTGGATTAGGTTAGTTTAGGTCAGGACATGTACGGTTAGAATAAGTAGGTAAGGTTAAAGTTATGTAGGATAAGGGCGGGGAAAGTTAAGCTCTGTGAAAGTGGGATAGGTCTTGTAAGGTGAAGTTGGGTAAGGTTAGGTAAAGTTGGGTAAGGTTAGGTAAAGTTGGGTAAGGTTAGATAAAGTTGGGTAAGGTTAAGTAAAATTGGGTAAGGTTAGGTAAAGGTGGGTAAGGTTAGGTTAGGTTAGGTTAGGTTAGGTCAGGTTAGGTTAGGTTAGGTTAGGTTCGAGTAAATAACACAAGAAAAACAAGACTTGAAATTTAAAAGGTGTTATTGAGGCAAGTTTTAAGTTTCGTTGACGTCGTGATCGTTGACGCCGTGATCATTTTTCATAAGGGTCAGAATTTTTTATTTTTGGATGATCATGGTGTCAACAAAAACTTAGAAAAACTGTTTGTTGACACCATGATCGTTGACACCATGCTACGTAATCGTTGACGCTTGACGGGAGCGGCAAAGCTGCCGCCCCTTAGGTCGGGCCTTGAGCGCTAGGATGATCGTTCGTTGGAGTGATACTAAACAACACGGCAATTTTAAACATCGAGGCAGACTTGATAATCAATTTAGACGTTGATGCTCTGGTTGACAGCTTTGCTAAACTGAAAACCCGGAGAAAAACTTTTTAACCTGATCTTCCGAAAATACATTGGAACTAATACATTGAGCTACACTAGCTTCAACTTTGTCTCCACATTTTATTTTTGTCTCATCCATCCATTCCATTTCATATATTCGCGGCGCATTTTGAAGCAGCTACGCGCACGCGCCCAGGCGGCGCACGAGGGGGGGGGGGCAAGATGAGATGGCGTGGGAAGTTGGGAGTGCGGAGAGGGGGAGGGGGAGGAGGGGATACTGTTGACAATATAGTGGCGAAATATTGCAGACCCAGGGGCGGCAAAATGTAGCTTGCCCAGGGGCGGCAAGAAGCTAAATCCGGCCCTGTGCAAAATAGCGATGTGTAACGAGGGAAAATTCATTACCTCCAACGAACTGAACGTTTCACTGAAAAAAAAGGAAAGTAGAATCTGCCAAACGCAGGAAAGTAAAACTTTAATTGTTGAATTCACAGCGTGCGCGGTTAAAAAACCCCTTCTATTATAGTTGAAAGTACCATTAGAAGAAAATAAAATTTTACAAATGTACCTTACAGCAGAAATGACCACAAGGTTTGTTGATTTTATAAAACACATAGCAAATTTTACCATGTTCTTGCTGATTNTTTTTTCAGTGTTAGAATGGCCGCCAAATAGGGAGCCTGCGTAACACACATGGTCCGATTTTTGGAGGCCGGAGGGGGGTGGGAGCCCAAGTGTACCTAATCTCAATCACCATTTCCAATCACCATTCCAATCACCGCGTCTTGCCCATAAGGATTCGTAGAGTACGTAGAGTCGTAATGTAAGTGGAAGAGCTGGCGCCATGTTCTGCTCGACGAGTTCCGAGCCCGGTGTGCGGGGTTACTTTCTCGATACATATTCGATCCAAAATAGCGGTGTGGAGTATGGCCGGGTCCTCCCCCCCATGTATCGCAAACAATCGATTATGTATCGAAAAAAGGACCCGGCGCCGCACAGGAATCTCGGAATTCGAGTCCTAGAAATTGCTTAAAAGTGGCTCCAGCTCTCCGACTCTATGTACTCTATGTTAGGATTACGTGTGAGATTTTCCACCTTTGTAAATTTTAATTATTTTGAGAAAAGCTATCAATGTTCCTATTTTTTGAGTGAAGAAGACCCTGTGAGATGCGATTATCATGCTATCTATTCATTGCTATCACTTTACTTAAAAAAAAAAAAAAAAAAAAAAAAAAAAAAAAAAAATTTGCCGATGGCAGAATGGCCTGCTTCGAGGCAGACTCTCCGCACTGAAAAAAAATCTCGGTGTATTTACCGCGAAAAGGGTAAACTTACCAAGAATTCAGGGTTCTATTTGATCCCAGATTTTTCTTGGTAAAATTACCATTGATGGAATGGGTTATTTAACCGAGAAATCTCGGTAAAATTATTGAACTTTCTCGGTAATTTTACTGGACCTTAGTAAAAACGCCAATATTTCTTATCGGCTGAGGTAGAATTACCGAGATAAAATGGCAAAGTTACCGGGAATTGATTACCAATAAAAGTGGTATACATACATACATATAAGTCGCTTTACAGCACTCCCTCGCGCTCTACGACTCCTAACCTCCACTGCTCTCTTTCAAACCACAAATCTTGGGGGATTGAGCACCTAAACATTTCCGCTTCAATCCCTTCCCTCCAACCTTTCATATTGGGCGCCCTCTGCGTCTTCTCCCAGGAGGAACCCAATCAAGGACCTTCTTCGGCAACCTGTCTCCTGCCATTCTCTGGACATGACCATACCAAATGAGTTGTTTTGTCATAATGTCATGCACGATGGTCTGTTTGGCATCCATGATCTCTCGTACCGTCTCATTCCTGACGCGATCCTTTCTGGAAATACCAGCGGATCTACGCCAGAAGTCCATCTCTGTTGCCTCTAAAACCTCCCGGGTCCGCTGTTTCATCGGCCATACTTCACACCCGTAGGTTACTATGCTCTTGACAATCGCGTTGTAGATCCTTCTTTTGTTCTCTTTGGAGATCCTTTGGTATAAAAGTGGTATTCTTACCTAAAAAAACAGTAAAAATGCCGGTTTTTAGGTAAGCTTACCAGTCTGTCTTGGTAAAACTACCAATAATTGGTAAAAAAGTGAGATGGTAAAGGTACCAACGGACCTTGGTAAAAACGCCGAGAATTTTTTTTTCAGTGCGATTCTCTTAATTGGAGTACGTGACCCAAAACTCAACCAGCGAATTGGAATTTTCTCTGCTGGGCTTTGTAGATCGCCCTAATAGATTCACCTCAGTGGCGAGGCGTGAATGATCGATTATCGGTATTTCCCCATTTAAAGCTATGATAAAGGATCGATTATTGAGGTGTTGGTTTGCATATACCCTGTTAATCGATCCTTTTCCATAGGTTTAAATGGCAGATCAATCGATGCATCGCAAAGCACGCCACGCCACTGATTGACCTATTTCAGTGAGCCTTGGTGTCAACGAATTTTGTTTGCAAGGATAGAGCACACGCATGTATGCGTTCATTCAATCCAACCATGAATCGCAAATAAAACCGCGTTAAAACACCCGAAGGGCGATTCTCTCCAAGTTTAGGGGGGCTAGAAAGACCAGTGCGCAGCTGTCCAAACAAGAACTCCCCGTTTTAAGTGAAAAATGTCAAAGTGGTGCACGGTTGGAAATCATTTCATCACGTCATTTGTCAAGAGATTTGAATGCAAAGATCGGCATTAATTATTATTATGATTAATTGTATTTGTACAACTATTCTAACAAGCCACGAATCGGCCAAGATAAGGGTCACAGAGGGAACTTGGTCTCGTTACACTTTTCCAACTTGGCGACCGAACGCTCAGCTATGAAATTGGCATTGACATTTGTTTTTTAGGGCGACGCTTATTGAGCCTTCGTTTCACGTTTTCATTCGTTTGAGGTGAATAACACAGTTGATTTATGAAGGATGCAGAAATGAGGACAACGTACAAAAAAGGAGGAGAATAGATAAATTAGGGGGGCAGAACCATCTCCGTTACATATATAAGCCGATATACCTGTGTCGAGAGTGATTCGATTGGAAACTACAGGATAGGTGCTAGCGTTTCTTCGGCAAAAAATTTCACCGCGTGAAGGAATAATGAAATTCAGCTGTGTACTTGCGATTATTGGCCTTAGCTTACTCCTCTTCTTAGAGACTCCTCGGGTGAGTGCAATCTAAAGTAATTTATTGGTGCAAACTTTGAGGCTTTTTATAAAAAGTCTTCGGTTTGGAGTTAGTCATCTTCTCCTTCTCTTCCTTCCTCCTCCCTCTTCTTTGTTTTCTTCTTTTTCTCTGTCAATCTATTCTTCTTCTGGTTTCTGCCCCATTTCCTCTCCCACATTAAATTTCCCAATCGAGAGCGATGCGTAGGGGCAAGCATTTTTGTTGGCGACGTTACATTCTGAGTCTTAAACCGTGCATTAGTTGGTCTGTTGGGCACAAAACATTTCAAAATTTTAGTAATTTTAACTAAAACATACACCGAAGGAAAAGTATCGTAATCCCAACTACACTGATTTTGGCGCCAGATGTGAGAGTAGTTGCACGAGTTAGAGGTATGGTTGATCCAGCCACACTTTCGGCGGACTTAACTCCCAAGTAGCACAGTCACAGTGCAACGAAAATATTGAAATTATGCGATTTGAGTTCATTAAAATTTTATTTTATAACAGGTGCAACTTGATCTAGACACCAGTTCCAATGCATTAATTGATTACTGCTGCTCCCTATGAGCAGGTATGTACACTAATTACCTTTTTCCCGTTTCAAGTTCACCTGTGATTTATCCTGATATGCTCCTAAATAGCTCTTCCATGAAGGACGTAAACAACTCTTATCACTCGTCAACTTGCTCTCTACTTTGTTACACGAACAGCTTAAACCCGTTTCTTCACTGTTTTTACTAATATCTGTATAAGATGTAGTTTGATACTTAATGCTTATTTGTTATGTTACTTGTTTACTCTATTACACGGAAAAAAAAAGAATTGCTGATTCAGCAATTCAATTGCTAAAAACAGTGAGTGCAATGTTTCAACGCAGATTTTACAACAAAAAAATGCTACTTTAACCACCCCCGTGGTTAAATTAGTTCACAATAGTGGTTAAATTAGTTTACAATGTGGTTAAAGTAGCATTTTTTTATGTAAAATCTGCGTTGAAACATTGCACTCACTGTTTTTAGCAATTGAATTGCTGAATCAGCAATTCTTTTTTTTTTCCGTGTACTACATACGCACCTCTATGTACAAGTTAGGAACCCTCAAAAAAGTCAAACTTTGAAAAAGTCTTGCTCCATCTCGCTTTTCCCATTCCTTTTGGACCTAATAATAAGAATCTGAAGTCTGGAGGCTGTAGCTGAAGTAAAGGGTTCGGTACTTTTGCCTTCTTTTTTCAAAAATTGAGCAAAAAAACTCGATTTTAGGTGATTTTTCAAAAAAAATTTGGGGGGCGGGAGGGGCTCTCGAAGGTCAAATGGGGCTAAAATCACTAAATTAGATAGTCCTGTAATGAATTATAAATACATTTCGTCACAAAGTTGCATTTAAAAACGCTTAAACGTTTTTAAAGAATAGCAAGAAATAAGTAGATTTCTCGTCATTAACGCTAATTTATTCTATGTGATACAAAATTAGTTGAATTTAAAATAATTGCAAATTAATCAGTAACTTTTAGAATCCTTCTCTTTTCTGAACCCCTTCCATTATTTGCAAATTGATGTGGGCTTAAGGGTAAGAAAAAAAAATTATTTTACAATTTCTGCTTTATAAAAGAAATCTCATACCTACTTGACAAAATTAAAGCTAGCTTTCCTAAGCTTTCGAAATAACAGATTTTGATTTCTTCAAACTTGATACAGTGCGACGACTTTGCTCTACTACGTGCAGCAAATCTTGTCGTTGTCCTTCATTTTTGGTGATTGATGAGGAAAAGTCTTGCATCAACTTTATTCCGCGTTCTGCAGCGTCATTTACGGACTTCATTGTTTTAACGACTTTTTTTAAATTCTAAAAAATCGGCGTCATCGGCCCATGCCGTTGTAGGTTTTTTCAGCCAAGAACTTTTGTGACCAGTGACGTTAAATAGTAGCCAAGAATTAGGTCCGACTAATTGAGGCAGCTTAGTACTTTTAAGTAAATTAGGAAATACACGAGTTCCCTTCGAAAGTGGAGTATCAGATTTATTCCTCAGGAGCGCCGTTACTATTTTTTTCTTGTCGGAGTCTGAAACTCGGCTAGAAAATAAAGCAAGTGGAATGACTTCTTCGGTCAAATACCAGAAGTGGCGGTGAAATACAGTTTGCGCAGCTTCCGCTATCTCACGATCAATTTCGGCGTAAAAGTTTAAAGTATGAAAAATATTTAAATCATTGGCTGGCGCGTCAACACTTTTCGGCGCATTTAGCCAGACTTTGATATAAATTAATGCATTAAAAATACAGATTCTTTCAAGCTTTTGAATTGTTACTGGATCATACTGCATTTGTTCACTAAACGCATACATTTTTGCCGAATAAATTATCGTGCACATCCAGCGCGCATTATGGCAAGCACCTGGTTTATGCCAATTTATGCCACAAGTTGGGATTTCGCCCAACAAAATTAGAAGAACTTCGGCGCAATCTTTGTAATCACCACGAAGCAACAAATCTTTATCTTTATTAAGTACGGTTTTCAAAAACGAAACTGCGTCGTCGCGGAGGGATTTCAATCTCCTATCATTTATTTGTAAAGTTTTGAACTTTTCTCGATTTTTGATAGAACTCCATTTGGCTTTGAATTGTTTAAAGTCATTATTATCTGGGCTCATGGATTCTCCAAAGAGAGCCCTCCATCTCCACTGTTATCATCATTATTTTTCATTATTTTAGTGTCACGAATTATTAAAATTTCGGAAGAGGGAAGGCTGTAAGCTCAAATGAGGAATTAAAACTGAAATATCAACCATACAGATGAATTTGTTGACAAATTGAACCCCCCCCCACCTTCCCATGAAAAAGAGATCTAGAGCATGATCACTCCTTTTTAAAACAGATGTATATTTATTGCTCAAACGACTTTAGAATATACAGGGTTATCCAGAAGTCTGGGACCCCCCTTATAACTTTTGAACAAAAAATGCTAGAGATTTGAAATTTGGGGAATGTTCCTAGGTCAAAGGGAACTACTTTTTGGCGTACCCAAAATTTTGGGGGGCGCCCCCCCTGAGGGGGGGCGGACCCTAACTTTTTTTTTTCAAATGGGAACCCCTATCTTGTGATACATCATTCGAAAGGGCTTAAAAAAAGAAAACTTTTGGCGCAAACCGATTGTCGATACCTCAATTTTTAACAAAATGGCGGCC